GAGTTAGAAAATCTTGATTTATAATAAGTTTAAAAAATCCCAATTGGTAACCATGTGCACAAATAAAATAAAAAATGAATGAACACAACCATTAATTTGATTAATTTGTAAGGATGAAAATTAGTATTTGTCTATTTAATGAGCTATGCTATTAGCTATATTCCTTCAACAAAATAGACTCTACCTTGTTTCAAAAAAAAGTTAGACTCTACCTCCTTCGTAGCATAGTTTCAACTTGAGATGCTTCTTGTATAATACAAATACCAATACTCCATCCCTCCATAAAGTTACAGAGTTAAAACCCTCTTATATCAAGAAAAATTATTGGTAATCTGTTTGTTGTCATGACATGATGCATTATAATGATGAAGTTCAAATAAAAACACTTAAAATAAGTTTACTAACCATAGTATTTATTTGAGAGCAACAATTGAAATTAAACCTTTATAAATGCTTGAATATCAACACTTTACCTATCCCATCATATAATAATGGGAAAAAATGATGAGGTTAATGACCTACTGCCGATGTCCGAAAACTTGAGTCTCTGGTTGTCATCTGTAATTGTTCAAATTTTAGGCATCTAGGAATTAGGTATGTAATATCTCGAAATTAAAAAATTGGGAATGAATATGATTCGAAATTAAGTACTCCGTATAAAATATCTCGGAACTAAAGATTCAAACTTAAAAATTGGAAATACGATCGAAATTAAAAACTTGTAATACGATCGAATGAATCAAAGTTTTTAAACAAAAACTTGTAATAGGATCGAATGAATTTTGGAAATTTACCTTTGGAGTCTTTGAAAATTTCGGATAGGTTTCTTAGAAGGATTATGCTATGTGTTATGTGTACCCCAAGATTTGTACCCCAATTTGTACCCCGCAGTTTTGCACCAACATTTTGTGTTGGTGTAAAACTAATTTTTGTTAAACGCGCCGACATTTGTGTCTGTGTGAATTTTTATTAACGCACCAACACTTGTGTCGGTGTAAACCATTGAAATGTTTGTGCAAACCTGTGGTGTACAAATGGGGTATATTTGTTGGTGTAAGTGTAGCATGGTCCTTTTTAGAATTTAGAGACTTTCCTTCAATTGAGATTCTTGAATCGCAATCATGGTTCCTTTCCTTAGGCGATGAAATCAAACGGAAAAATCCTTGTATTTTTGGAGAAGAAGGAGAAGAATTAGGGGTGAAGAAGCTTTGGAGATTTACGCCCCTGGATATGCGGATATGCGAAGATTCTCTAAAAGTCTTTGATCGTAGAAACAATAATAAGGAGACACGTGTAAACTGATGTGTCATCAAAATAAAACTCTTAGAGTGCCACGTGTCAAAATTCTAGGCTATCAACTCTCAAATATTATATTAAAGGATATCAAAATATGATTTTTATGTTTTTATTCTACAAATAAGAGTTAAAATTCATTTAGATTACCAAATATGGTCATGTACATTACCAAAAAGTATAGTAATGTGCACATGTACAGTGTCACATTACAATTATATTACCATTGTAAAATCCTATATTGTGAATAAAAGTATGGAACTTCTATTTTTGTATTTTTTTTAAAATATATTTTATTCCTATTTAGTATGATTTCTACTTGAAAAACCACTAGTGTTGCCAATTGAAGTCTGTGCCAAAATGGACTGGAGTTTGGCAATTAAGAGTTTGCTTTAGTTAGGACATCTAGATTTGGAATTTGGCCATATTCCTTAGGAATACATGTAAGAGCATTGGAAATTGTCTTGAAGCTCCGTCCTTCAAATCTGGCCTTCAAACCCTCTCTCTGTAACATCAATTTTAACTCCTCTTTAATTTACATCACAGTTTCATAAGAAATGAGTTTGAAGTCTTGTGGCTTCAAAGTGGCCTTCAAACCTTTTTGTTTTAATTTTTTTTACACAATTTGTAAAATTAAATTAATAAAATTTCATTAAATAATTGAATTTAAATAACAATAATTCATTAAATAAAAAATTACATTCAATAAAAATAATATTAAATTTTAAATAATTACATTAATAAAATATTAAGACAAATTATATTTAACCTTGGTCTCTTTTTGTCTTCTCTCAAAATAGATATGTTTGAAGCCCGTTAATGTATCGATGTCGGTTTTACCTATTTCCAACTCATTCTCTTGCCTTCTTTTCTCCCTATCTTCTTTCCTAATATCGAACACCCGTAGTTGACCAACAATTTTCCAGACGATATCGTCGTGAGAGGAAACTGAGATAGACCATGCAGAACTCGAGGCAATAATTTTTGCCTTCTTTCTTCCAATCGGCTGTGGAATGGGGTCCTCGTCCTTGGAGTCGTCTAAGTTGAAGGAGGACCTTTGTTTCGACGAGTCGATAGTGTCATCGGCCTCAACCTCGACGAAATATCTTTTCTTTGACCATCTGACCTCAGGGTTGTTGAATTGTTGTCATTTCAGTGATGATGATCACAATACTAATAAGAAAATTATTATTATTATTTTTAAAAAAGAGTGAATTTGTAAAGAAAGATTTTTTTTTATTTTTTAAATATGTAACGGCATTCTAGCTGTTGGAAGGGAGGGGGTCCGCTGCCATTCGCCCGTTTAACGTTTGACGCAGGGGTGATGATGCCGCGATGAAGCCCCAAGGGGCGTGTTTAACGCCCGGGGCGTTAAATTTGAGAAAAATGCCCCCCATTGTTAGGTATAGTTCTAGTGCTCTGGTGGGGGTGGATCACGCCCAACCGTTTTTTTACAAATCAAAATTACTTAGAATAAGAACATTAATAAATATTTTAATAACATTAAAATTAAAATTACATTGACATAATGCGATAAAAGAATAGGCAGCATAAAAACTATTCAGGATTATTTCTAAAACAAAATAATTTAAAAACTAAAAGTAAAAGTAAAAAAAATCGTCGTGGAAAGGAGAATAAAAAAGAAGAAAACAGCTATGGTAAAAAAGAAGAAGAAAAACAAAAAAACAAGAGGAAGAAGAAGATGAAGAAACGCAGAAAAAGAAGCAGAGGGAAAAAAGAAAAAAAAGGGAGAAGAAAATTATCGTGAATGGCGTGATTGCCATCACCTCCACCACGCTCACGGGCGAGGGGGACCGTGTTCCTTCCCCATCACACACGGACGGGGCATCTAACTTAACGTCTTAACCATCACGACCATCCCTGGCGAAACAAATGCGTTCAGCCTAAGAGATTGAGGGTTTGATGCATGTTTAGGGCATGGGTTTGGAGAAGCAACCAGACATCATTTGTTTGGATTTCTCTACATCTAGTTACTTATGACCCTCATCTGTAGGTCCACAAATAATTATGTGCCACAATGGTTTTTTTAAGGTTTGATAGAATACCCTTATATTAGCTCACATGTGATGATTATCATTATTATTATTATTGTTATTATACAACTCATTATAAATAGTAATGGTAACAACAACAATGATACAAGTCAAACTAATTTTTACAAATACGGTCAGGATCTCCATCATTATAAATTATAAGATGTGTGAATCGGCCCCTATTAGTTGATAGTTGACTATGTTGAGTTACAAACACAGAAAGCCGATGTGGCAATCAGTATGGAACATACTTTTTTATGGTGGACAACTTATATAACCCCTGCATACTATTGCAAAAATACCGCATTGGTTATTTGGGCCATAGAAACTAGAAAGCACGAGCTATTATGGCAATCTCACATAAATTAGAGTAGTAGTATAGGGCTTCAGTCAATGAGCAGGCAGGCCGGATATAATGGAGTAGTTCACTTCAGTCGTGTTGATTTATGTCGGAAGGTTCACCTAAAGTATGCACTGCGTGAAAGAAAGAACCTGTAATCTGGGTGGTCGACTTGCAACCATCGGAGCCAATTGTCAGCAGCTCGTAAGAGAGAGCTGACCTTTTGAGATTCATCTTCGTCAATCGGAGCCCAGACAGAAACTTTCAACTTGTAAAATGCGAGCCCAAAACTTGGAAGTGAGAGCTTGATGGGCATGCTGCCATGATGTTGACTATCACGCATCCCCATGATGGTACCTGGACAAAACGCAATCAATTCATCTTTGAAACTGTGGAACAGATGCTAAACTTGCTCTATTTAAAAGGGGAGAGGGGGGGGGGTCTGGAAATGGATGTATAAACTATTTCAGAAGAGGGGAAAAACTTACTTTTAAGTGGAGATGAAAGATAATGAAATGTCAAGAAGCAAGCATCAAGGTTCTGCAGTGTTGGGCCTATGGGTATCCGGTATATTGGGTACCTTCAAAATCATAACGGCATGTTTTTTTGAATCAAAACTTTCACAATGGACTGTGCGCACTGTTCAAATCCCTGTGTGTGCGTGCTTGTGTTTGGGGGTGGGGAGGGGCTTAATAGTTACCAAGCAACAGAAATCCAACTTGCAGGTGTCAGGTCACAACTCCTATATGTCCTCAGCTCAGGAAATTGAGATGCAAGATTTATGATCTGTTATAAATAATAAAAAAAGGATCGAAAAAGAGAACTAGTTGATGATGCACACAAAGTAGAAGACTAAACTGAAGCCCCTGCAAGTAAGATTACATGCCTTTTCAGTCAATGGTTGACGATTCTGTGGAGGATTTTGTTCCAAGAACTGAAATGTAAGCAGACCAGGTGGATTACTTGTCTCATTCAAGGATGCATCATTTGTTAACGACAGTCTTTTAAATCCATTTCCAGTTGCAATAGTATTCTGTTGATTCTGCTTTCCCACATATTCACTAGTTGTCTCCCTATAAGCATCGACATCACTTCCCTCACTTGGTTTCCTGCAACAAGATCAACTAAATAAGACAACAGTAATGCAACAAGATCAATCAAATGAATGTAGACATAATGCTTGTCCACATTCACTCAAAATCTAATGTATTTAAAATGTCATATTAGACAGTTATTTAGGAATGGAGTACAATATAGGATGATCACCCGCATAAAAAGCAGCAAAGTTTCTCATCATATAAAGGCAATATTGCAAGGACTAATAGAAGGATAATTACTAATCAACTAGTAGTATAGTACTTCGTAGATAGATGCAAACTCCCCACACCAATCTGTTTGACAAGGATATGAGTGATGAACACATCGTAGCAAAAAGAAAATTATCAAAATGGCCTCCTACACACGTGAATTAACTTGCTTACAAGACCTATTTACAAAAAAAGAGGAAGATGATTCTACAAAAGTTGAGAAAACTAGTACAGCTTTAAGTGATTAAAGATGAAATGTCCTACAGTTCCATGCTCTTGAACGTGAGGCAAAAACAATGACAAACGCAAAATACACAAACTATTAACCAAGACAAGCAATATGACCCTACATCCATAATAAAGCCTAAAAACTAAAGGTGAGTCATGTTCCGAGATCCAGTTTCAAGTTTAAAACAGAGAGTTTCTAAAAAAAAACATATTAGCATAGCAATCCAACTAAAAAATCATCAAACCTAATATCATTATTCTTGCTAAAAAGTGAAGCAAATAAATATATCATTCCCATCATCATAAAAATGGTCATCTTTGTTGTATTCATCTTTAACACATTTTTTTCTTATCTCTATCCGATAAGCATAACAAATGGGAAGTAGTGTTTGCCCTTGTCGTTTGCTTTAATGGGCAGCCCAGAAGTGATAGTGTAAGCTTTTTAGTTAGAGTGTTTTTAGTCGTGAGAGAATGAGGAATATAACTTAAACTAGCCCATGTTTATGCTCTTAAAAAAATGTATACTATTCAATGTGCAAGTTTCAATGACGGACCTCAGAAAACAATAAATGTCAAGTTGCAAACATCTAAAGACTTGGGCTACGAAAGGCTCCAGCCATTGGACCTGCAGTAAGGCACGTCTGGGGTATGCTAGGAACTGATATGTTTAAGGGGGTATGCATCTCATGCAGCTAATGAGAGAATCCTCATTCAAAAAGTTGGTAGCAGTAGAAATGAACCGTATATATAACAATCTTACCGTAAACCCACAACAGACCTGGATTTGCCTACATACAGTTGCATCCCAGACAAGTATGGGACATAATATTGGACTACAGAATCACTCTCGTTCAAAACAAGAGGAACTCCTGCTCCATACGCACTCCACTCCTTAAAAGATTCCCAAAGATCATCCAAAATGAAGTAGGGGCCGAAATCACTGTCCTGATATCTCCAACATCTCGTGTGCGTCTGCACATATCCAAATGTTCCAAGTTGATTTCATCAATGGAAGAATTTAAAACTTGAAAATTAAAATTTTTTATTTTTTATTTAACGAGGTATATCCGTAAATTAATGTGAACGAAACACTAAATTATAACCATATATGTATATCAACATGAAGAGTGCATCCTATTCAAATATGCTCTCTATGCTTTATGTGGATTGAGAAAACAAGTAGAGATCATGGTTATCATTACTTAAAGATTTCTATTGAAAAGTTACCACTCCATGCCTACACTGACAGAAAAAACTAATGGAAATGAATAGAAATCTGAGAATGTTGCTTAATTAGACTAAAGGAGGTGACTTTAAACATTATCAGGAAAGAAAAGAAGAGGGGAAAAGGGAAAACTGTTACTTGTAGTCAGTATACATCTCTTTTGTACCTGAGCAGGTACTTTAGGGGTTGTATACTCTAAAAACCGATCCAAATTCGTGGAAAACGATGGGGTTGAGGTAGGCGTGGCCGTAGTTGATGTAGTGGATGCTGCATCTTCAGACTCTCCAGTTCTCTGATCGGATTTCGAATTGTGAGCCTGCATTTGCTGCTGCTGCCGCCTCAATGCTGGCGGACAATAAAACCGATTCTCTCCTCCTTTGCTCCTTCTCCGATTGACTGACATTGCACCCACTCTTCCTTCCCCCCAGACCCAAATTTTGAAATTGAGTTGAAAGCTCGATGCTTTGTCTTGTCCTATATATAAATATATACTCCGTATATGTATGCGCGTTGATTACAATTTGACATGCATATATGTTCAGCAGTGGATTCTTCTTAATAAATTCGAAGGCTAGGATTTCTATTAAAGGGTTTTGCGAGAGATTTAGGAATTTCTTTGATAGTTGCGTGATTCAGGAAAACACGGACTCTAGCTAAACGGAGAGATTTAAAAGAAGTCGAGGCTTCCCCTCCTATGCTTCCATTGACCATTCTCTAGAGAACTCTATCCTGTTTTAAGCTCTATCCCGTTCAACTTATTTTTTTTTATTTTTTTTTATTTTTATTAAAATCAAATCAGATCAGACGAATCAGATCAAATTAGATTAGAACAAATCAGATCAGATCATATTCAATCTAGTCAGATCAGATCAGATCAGACCAGATCTAATCAGATCAGATCAAATCAAATCAGATCCAATCAGACCAGACCAGATCAAATCAAATCAGATTCAATCAGACCTGACCAGATCAGATCAGATCTCATAAAGAATTATTATTTTTATTATTATTCTTAAAAATGAAAAAGAATAAACTTTAGAAACAAGTTAAATAGAAAACTAAGAAATTAATCCTTAATTATTAGACGTCGAAAAAATTATTTTTAAAATACATTGACAATGTCAATCTAATTCTACTTTTAAAATACATTTTTATTGCTACCTATAATTTGAGTTTCTAAAGTTTTGATCTTTTATAAAGATGAGATATTTTAATAAAAATGCTATCTCATCTCTATATTGATTATATATAAATTAAATATATATTCTAATGTATGTATGAACTAATTATTAAAATATTAAATCAATATTCAAATTTCACAAACAATAATCATAAAATAAAAACTATTATTACATTAAAATATGAATGATTATTCTAATATATAAATTAACTAATTTTATTTTATTAAAAAATAATTATAAAATAAAAAATATTGATTATATTATAATATGAATTATCATTACAATTTTCAAACGTTATTATAAACTCAAATCAAATTATTGATTTGAATTTTAAATCAAATCATAATTAATCAGATCAGATCCAATCATAAAACATAAAACTCCTATTTTTAAGATAAGTAATATGTTTTACTCTTATTTAGAATGATTTTTTAACAGGGTATCACATTACTTCTCCCTCCCTCCCCTCTCTTGTGGAGTATTCGTAATTTTCCTTGTTAAATTACACAAAATTTAATCACAATCTAAAAAAATTATTCTCTTTATCTGGATTTAATTTTTTCATTTTCCACTATTTCAATTTTTTAAAAACAAACTACACTAAATACTCCCACCCACCCATTTACCCTTCATTTACCTTTCTTTACTTCTCTCTACCCATTTTTAGTTCTTTCTTTACTTATCTCTCCATCGGTTCCCCTCTTCTCTCTCCTCCCTCATCTCTTCTCTAGATCTAACTCGCCTTCTTCTTCTTCTTCTTCTTCTTCTTCTTCTTCTTCTTCTTCTTCTTCTTTTCGGTCCCTCTTTTCTTTCTCCTAAATCGGCTCCTCCTCCTACTTCTTCTTCTTCTTTTCCTCCTTCTTTCTCTAGTTTTCTTGTCTTCAAGATTTGTTCTTATATCTTCTTATTCTCCTCCTCCTATTTATCCCCCCTTCTTTTTTCTTCTCTATTTTGTTTTTCTCCCTGATATGGTGATGGTAGCGGTTGGGGCAATGGTATAGAAGGTGGTGACGGTGGCTGATGGTCAGAAACCACCAAATAGTCCAAGTGAGGGGTCGAGTAATGATGTGTAATGCCACAAAATATGACCTAAAATTTATTATAAAACAAAAGTAGTTTTTGTCCAATAAGGAATATTTATACGTTTAACCAAAAATAAATGTATTTTCAAAATAATGACTTTTTGTTAAAAACTTATTTTTATGGATATGTCTCGAAGAGACGATTCCAACGGTACATTTTATGAACCAATCTGATTTATAGATTTCAAGTTATGACAATTTTAAATATTAAAATTTGTAACTTTGACCCATAAAATAAATTCAATTCAAAAGTGATTTCATAAGATTAGAAAATCTTAATCTCTGACACTTGACAACACCATATTCATCATTTGGATTAAATTCATATATTTTTACATCATTAATATTATTATATTAATTTATGACTGAGACAGACCTGAACACTGAAAAATAAAAGTTCTCAGAAAAATATTTTGGTTACGTTAAAATTCTAGTTTTGACAGTCTGATTCCAAAAACACAATCCGTTTTCAATTCGGAACAGTTTGGGCGAAAAAGCGTGTATCGTTTGGAGTAAACTGTTAAGTTTTGGCAAAAAGCCAAAACTTAAATTATCAAATCTCTTCCAAATCACAAACCATTCCCTCCTAGCTCCACTTTTGCTCCACTAGCCACCTAAAGTCTCTCCCTACATAATACTTCCAAAGTATTATGTTATAATACTCCACCACCACTATTATCATCATGTTCCACCACCATCACCATCTCCTATCATCCACCCACAACACTCCTCTCTCCTCTCCATCCTCTCTCTGTCGGCAGCCCAAAAAAGGAAAAGAAAACAACAATACTCCATGGTTGTATATTAAGGAAGAAGGAGAAGCAAGAAGAAAAACCATAAAGTCTCAAAATCCTGAAACCAAAACACATCAGTCCACTTTGAGGTAAAAACTGAAATTTTCCATCCATTATCTCGAAATACTTTCTGAACCAAGTTTGTAGCCCCGGACGATACAAATCCAGCCCAACAAACGGCTCGCGATTTCGTTAAGTAACGAAGAAGATATGGCCAAAATACCGGGACTACGCCAGTGGTGGCGAGCTCCTCGGGTTGGACCATTCTCTTCACCAAATTCATGTTGTTTCATTCCAAACACTCACCATAAACTCTCTAACAATTATTAGGAACATCCGAAAGGTATCGTAGAGAAGGTTCGGTGTTGGAATATTGAAGTTAATGAGTTAATCGTCGGAATCGGTTTTCATCGACATATCCAATATTCTGGACAGCGGTCGATCGCCGGTCAACCGCGGCCAACCGTCACGGTGATCCGCAAATCCGACCTGATGAAGATCAAGGTCGACCGTCGCGCCAAACGGTCGACCGTTCCTAGCCCAGTAACTTGATTAAATGATATTTTAATCATGTTTCAACCAAATAAACTTATGCATGATTATATATTCCTATTGTTTGCAAATTGTTCACATCATATCATTCATTTCATCATTCATATTGAAGCATATCACATCATATGCATGCGTAAGAGATCATGCCTAGTGCGTCTCTTATAGTTGTGATTGTGCGGGACTTAGCAGTCCGACATCACTGACTGGGCTTAGTGTACGTACATGGTATTCAGGCTTTCGAGTACCACCCCTATTTTCTAGTCTCCCTTATGAGACTAAGGCCGTGTGAGTTCGTCGTACCAAATGGGCGAATCTCATAGTGCAAGGGTCGTCTTTGCTAGTTAGAATCATACAGCATGAAATCATGCATCATCATCAAGAAATTATATCGATTACATAGGTGTCATGTAATCATCATCAAGAACAATCAAATTGATTAAATTAATGTGCCATTATGTAATTATCATTAAATATTTATCATCATGATTCATCAAATTGACCATATGACATAATGTGCCATATCATGAATATTGTTATACATTTTTGTGGACGTATATATATGTATATGTATATGTCTGTGAATTATTCTACAATTCTAGCGTGGTACCACTCAGTGGTTTTGCTGAGCGTGTAGTTTGTATTTTTCGTTGACTAGGCGTAGGTAATAAGAAGACAATGATGGAACCACTCCCGGAGAGCATTGAGTCAGAGGAGATGCAAGGATGGCAGGCAAATGTTTGTTCATCAAGATTTTAAATGTGTCATGATTTGATTATTATTGTACTTCCGCATTACTCTGAAAATATTTTTAAATGGGTCGCGATCCAAAGTCTGTAAATTTAACATTTATAATAAATTGTCATTTTCAAATGTCAAGCGAAATTTTTATTTAACCCTCATTTCACCTTAATTCGTGTAATTCCGGGTTATACGGATTGGGTTGTTACATTTTGGTATCAGAGCAAAACGATTTTCGGATCATTGAGTCAATATTTTCAAGTCCTGCATCCGCATCCTCCACGATCTCTGCCCCGGGAAGGTAATCAACAAGTAAGTTACCATGGCATAACACACATGCTTAACTCATTGCAAATTTGTTTCCTTTGAGTTGCTAATAATATCCTCACAGACCCAATTGCAATAAAGTTTAGATTGCCTTAGAATGTTCTTCAACGATCACAGTCGACATCAAAAGATCAAGGGTTAAGAAGAGGGAGTGTAAACCCGCTAAGCACGACATATACGTATGTCACAGTACGCAAATGGCTAAGTGAACGATGTGAATCAACTTCTATCAAGCCGAAGAATACATTGAAGAAAGAACTTTCTCCGATAGGAAGTGAACAAATTCTCCAAAAGTAAATCTGTCGTTTTCTAAGAGCACGAATAGAACCTCACAAACCAGATCGAATACGACATATGTATCGAATCTGAAACGCATTATAGGAGTGAATCTACATACAAACATTAAGATAATTGACTCATTCGTATACCCTATTGACGCGAAAAGTCGCAACAAGATGACAGTACAAAACAAGATCTGGAATAGTCACACCAACAGTGAGAGACTTGAAGATTAAAAAAGATTAATATTTACATGGTACATATTGATGTTGGAAATAAATACTCTTCTAAAATGCACTGGTCATACATCTTAGAACGATATTTATGACTAACACATAATGTACATGGACAATATTATTTCAACTTGGAAATATTACAGATGCAACTCTAAGTCTAATCTTCCAGGATTTGCAAACTCGTCATAACTAGCACCAGGACCTGGGAAAGCCTTAGCAAACTCTAGCTTGTCCAAAAGCTCATCAACAAAGAAAGAAGAAATGAACAGTTTCCTCTAATTCAAAGCCATGAAGTTCTGTCTCACCGCATCATCTAGAAACTTGATTAGGTTATTGAAATAACCGTCAATGTTCAAAAGATCAATGGGTTTACTGTGTAACCTTTCGGATGCCCATGAGATCAAAGTGAATAAACCTTCCATAGTGTCAATTCCTCCAGGAAGTACAATGAAGGCTTCCACAATATGATTCATCTCGAAATACTTATAGTAATTGCTGGAGACGTTGTACTCTACACTGTATGTAGGTCCGTAAACCTGTCGTGTGGCTATATATCCTAGTATGAAACCTCTGACTCTACCACCATTATTATAGACTATTGAAGCTACAGCTCCTTGAAGGCCAACGTTGCCTCCTCCGTAGGTAAGCCTGATTTTTCGCCTTACCAATTCACGTTCTAGATCAACCGATGTAGCCATGAACCTTGGATTGCTACCAAGAGCATGTCTACCAAGTAGACCAACGAATCTTATAGTAGTATTAAAAAGAGCTCGAGAAGTTCCTTCCATATATATAGACTATATAATGTGCGAATGTGAGACACTCTTGCCACAATTTGATATATATAGACTATGAAACTGGACCATTGATGGAAAAGTAATTATCACCAGCCTAAAAACATACAGGAAAAAGGATTCGCTCCAGACAAGAATGTACTCGCCAATACTATAGTCTGCTGACGACATGACATGTTGAGACTCGGGAATAGTTAGGCTCACTGTCTTGAAATACATTCAAATCCGAGATGAAAAGTCAAAATGACTATTTACCTAAGACAATGACCCCTTGAGTAACTTCGAAAGAGTGGAACATTGAAGGATAAAAACCTACTATTTGCCACAATAATTCACAAACGCTATATTCGTATTTTGTGACCTATATCCTCGAAATACTAAAACTTGCTGTGTTAATTACACACTTAAAGCATCTCGCTTGATCAAACTTGAAAAGATTGAATTCCATATTTTTTTATATATCCAATCATTGATAACTTGTTTTAACTCATGATTCTCCATCAAACCAAAAAGATGTTTTATGATACCGATCTTCAAAAATCACGCATGTGTGTGTAGAATCCCAAACGTATTAGAATATGACTACGTATACAACTTATCATGTTTTTGGTAATAGGTAATTTAACTGTTGTGTGACGAATATTAGTGATATGACGAATACACTAATATTATAATTTTCGAGCACGAAGCTCTATCATAATTATTGAGAAAGTCTGAAATTCCAAGGTAGTTCTGGAATCATCAATCAGAAAATCAATATTCAAGAATGACTACATATCATCTTGATAAGACAAATAGTGACAAAATAACAAGTGTTATCCAACACGTCCATCCAATCATTACGATATGATAAAAACAAATATTATTGTTATACATAAGTGTGATATGCATGTTTGCGGTTATAGGCATGCATAAGCCATGTGAAATCAGATTGTTGACATTACGTTAGTCAGAACAACTCCATTAAGGATTGAGAGTTCATGTTTTGAAACTATAATTTCATATTCATCTAGAAAACCTAGAATGATGACTATGATAATAGTCATTCCCCAAAATATAGCATTATGTTAAAACGTCAAACATAGAAACAATGAGTTCTAGCTTGTACACAATGAAGCGTAATTCATGAAAGCAACATTCCATACAAAGTCGTCTGAGAATGATTCTAGAAAAATTGCAAAAAAAAAAAGAAATTTTGCAAGTTACCCCACATTCACGAAACATTTTGTAAATTACCCCACATTCACGAAATGCAACCCATGCAAGAACTCCTGAAAACTCCTACAAGACGACAACAAGACGACAAGAGCAATTCTAAGAGTATATTCGACGCAAGTCTCCATGAAAGAAATCCAAACACGTTACATCTATTATCTGCGTATATCTTTTCTCGAAAGTAAACATGTCATAATCGTGACACTCAAGAAAAGAAAGAGAAAACAACTTTTCAAAATTAGTGTTTTATAAAAACAATGGATATTCATGATTTTGTACATCATCATTTTAAATGACTTCACCTAAGGAAATTTCGGGGACGAAATTTCTTTAAGGGGGGAAGAAATGTAACGCCACAAAATATGGCCTAAAATTTATTATAAAACAAAAGTAGTTTTTGTCCAATAAGGAATATTTATACGTTTGACCAAAAATAAATGGATTTTCAAAATAATGACTTTTTGTTAAAAACTTATTTTTATGGATATGTCTCGAAGAGACGATTCCAACGGTACATTTTATGAACCAATCTGATTTATAGATTTCAAGTTATGACGATTTTAAATATTAAAATTTGTAACTTTGACCCATAAAATAAATTCAATTCAAAAGTGATTTCATAATATTAGGAAATCTTAATCTTTGACACTTGACAACACCATATTCATCATTTGGATTAAATTCATATATTTTTACATCATTAATATTATTATATTAATTTATGACTGAGACAGACCTGAACACTGAAAAATAAAAGTTCTCAGAAAAATATTTTGGTTACGTTAAAATTCTAGTTTTGACAGTCTGATTCCAAAAATACAATCCGTTTTCAATTCAGAACAGTTTGGGCGAAAAAGCGCGTATTGTTTGGAGTAAACTATTCAGTTTTGGCAAAAAGCCAAAAGTTAAATAGAAATCATCTTAAATAGGACTAAAACATAGAGAAAAGTACCAAAATAGGACTTTCATGTTTTTTTTCCCGGATTAGGACTTTGCATTGTGGTAATGTGACTTTGCATTGTTGTAATGTGGCAGTGTACATGTGCAAATTACTATACTTTCTTGGTAATGTATATGACCATGTTTGGTAATGTAAGTCCTATTTTGAGAAAAAAATATGAAAGTCCTATTTTGGTATATTTTCAATGTTTTAGTCATACTTTGGTCTTTCTCCCAAACTTAAATTATCAAATCTCTTCCAAATCACGGACCATTCCCTCCTAGCTCCACTTTTGCTCCACTAGCCACCTAAAGTCTCTCCCTACATAATACTTCCAAAGTATTATGTTACTAGTAGGTAACCCCGTGCTTCGCACGGGCTGGGTTTGTGTGCGCGTTATTTGTTGTTTTTGTTATTTTTTGTGCTGTGTTTCCATAATTTTGGTTTGTTTTGAATATGTTATTGTTTTTTTGTTCTTGAGAAATGCAATTTTGTGTTAGAATTGGCGTGTAGATTTTCAATTTTTCAAGGATTAACCTTTTTTTTATATTTGTTGTTGAAAAATGTTGATGTGAGGGAATGAAGTGGATTCATTATACAATAAGTTTTAATAAAATGGTACATTGATGAAATATAATTCCGTTGCAAACGAAACAAATAAGTCTTGTTTGAATAATTTTTAAAAAGTAATGAGTAGGGAAGTAATGGAGATTTTGGGGATTAGTAAGTGTTCATAGTTGTTATTTTAATTTTTATTAGGTAATGGTATTTTTAAAATTTATTTCTATATCATGTATTTGTGATGTAGAGACTAACATAGGAAATGTTATTTTATTGTGTTTGTGTAGTTTGTAATGTTTAGTAATGTTGATTATTCGTGTATTAATAGGATATTTAGTATTATTAATTATTATAGTAGATTAAACTTAACGTCGTTGAAGATTATTAATTTGTAAATAGTAGAGCATTGGTTTGTGGATGTTGCTAGAACTATTTCCAAGTTGTTTTATAATTTGGTTTTGTTTCCCATGTAAAAATGAAATGTTGCATAGTTGATGGTTTTGCTTAAATGGATGGTGTTGTGAATTGGTTTTTTTTGGGACGTCTAGGGTATCATGGTTGGGTGTAATTAGCGGAGATTATTACGTAGGTTAACATTAGTAGTTTTGGTTTTTTTTTATTGTGAGTCGAATTATATAGTATTATAGAAATAATAGTGTTATTCATAAATGTATTTTTAAAAGAATGTATACTTCTATATCATGATTGCCGGTATTTAATTAAATTTTGTATATGTTCTTGGTGAGTCATTATGTAATGTTATATTGGGTAGACATGAGTGGGTGAATAGAAAGGTATAGGTTTTGGTTTTTTTTGTTTGGTTTTAAAATAAGATTAGTAAAAAGAAATGTTTGTTGTTTTTGTTGTATTCACTAAAAATGGGATATATAGATTAAGAAGCAATTATTGTATGATTGGCTGTGTTATGTTTTGCGAGTTGAGTAATTTATATTTAATTTGGAGGTAAAGGAAATTAATAATATGATTTGAGAGAAAATATAATATATTGAATATAGTTTTCAAACAAACATAACTGCAAATCAAGAAAAACATTATAAAACCTACAATTAGTTGAATTCATATTTGTCGTTTAATAATAATTCACTGGTGTCATGCATGTTGTACGGTTGTCAGTGATGATAAATTCTCGAATTTGGTTTGTATCACCGGGCGAATATACAGAAATTGTCGTATAGCATGTTTGTGTAGCCTGTAATTACAAATATAGAATAGAATTGGTTGAGAAATATGACGGTAATTTGAGTGTATAGTATTGAAGAAGAGTTGGGGAGTAATACCTGATATGGTGTTGGAGTTTGGTGTTTTGCAGTATAAAGTCATGCTGCAATTTGTTTCCCTTTGTGTATGATTGGGTTGAAGTCGATCAGTCCCCTATGAAGCATTATTACATATTAGAGTATAGCGTGTAGGTAAGAAATAATGTACAACCAAATAGATACAGATTGTTTTGGGAATATATTTTTTGGAGATGTAGTGTTCAGTTCCATACGTAATGGTTTTTTAAGAATCTTCAAGTTTGTATTTAAACCATGTACATGTACTGGAATAGGTTTTTTTTTTGTGATTTAACAGTTTTTAGCATTTGACGCCTTTGTTTTTTTGTGTAACGATTGAGGGGTAATAAAGGTTTTTTTATTTAGTTTGAGGTGGGGTGTTGATGGATGGGGTATATTATTAAACACTTCCTTGTAGACTATATTGCGCGTGTGCCTTGCATATTCTTCCTCTTTTTCTTTGAGGATGAATTTGAGTCCATTTGGTTGCGTGACTCTGGAGGCTGCAACATATAGCTGGCCGTGTGTGAAGACAGGGTTCGGTAGATAAATTCCTACATGTGTTAACGATTGCCCTTGGCTCTTATTAATTGTCATAGCATAGCACAGTCGCAGGGGGTATTGTCTTCATTTTAAGACAAAAGGGTATTTTGTGTCTTTTGAAGATATCACTATTCGTGGGATGTCCACCACTGTTCCAACATGATTCCCTGTGATTATCCTTGCCCGAATAATATACTGTCCCAATTTTGTTACTATTAGTCTTGTCCCATTGCAAAGGCCTAAGGTTGGATTGATATTTCTAAGTAATAGTACTGGTGTGCCACATTTCAAAGTAAGTAAATGGTTTGGCATCCTGGGGAAGGTTAGTGTGTTGAGGAATTCAGTTGGGTATCCAATTTCATGTGCATCACTGTCTTGTGAAGCCTGGCAGATTTCATCACAACTTTTATATGCCTTTTTCTCTCCAGGTAGTAATTTGTACATGTCTTGGTTAATATCTTCTGCAGTGGTGTTCAATGGGGTCAATATTGCTCGTTCTTTGAGGTAATTCTCATCATTCCATTTTTCAAGGAAGTTGGGGTATGTGGTTGCTATTAAAGTTGGCATGTCAGTGGAGTGACCTGGGATGTAGTGTTGTTGAGGTATTTCTATCCAGGTGGCCTCGTCCTCATCCGGCAGGGCTTTTGTCGGAAAGGTTCCATTACCCATCTTTAACAACCAATTGTTGAATTCTTTTGCATTTTGATTTTCAACTGAATTTCCTACATCCTCTTGGATTCGCATGCTCTTTGTGAGTGTGTAAACTGTGCAACTTTCCCAGATGTACGACCGATTTAATGATGCTTGAACAATATCTGGACGTTTACCTTTTGGTATAACTTGAAGTACTTGGCGAAAGTCACCACCCATAAGTATTGTTTTTCCCCCAAAAGGGAGGTTTGCTGCAGACTCATTCTTAAATGAGACAATGTCTTTGAGTGTGCGGTCAACTGCCTCAAATGCAAATTTGTTGGCCATTGGAGCTTCATCCCATATTATCAATGAACACTCTGTCAAAAGGCCTGCCAGTTGTGTCTGCTGTCGCACGGCACATGTTGTGCCTTCAAATAACTCAATTGGGATGTCAAATCTACTGTGTGCCGTCCGACCTCCTGGTAATAGGAGTGATGCAATCCCTGGTAAGATAAAAATGTGTTAGTAATAGCTGTTGTTGGGGTGTAAATGTGTTATAGTGTATAAGTATGTATGATACCTGAGGATGCGACAGTTAGGACAATCTTTCTTTCGCTTCTCAGCTTTGCAGCTATAGTGGAGTATAAGAAGGTTTTTCCTGTGCCACCATGTCCGTAGACGAAGAATACTCCTCCATTACCGGTCTCCACCGCTTGTACAACAGCATGGTAGACTTTTAGCTGTTCGTTGTTTAAAGAGGATTTGCTTTTTTCTTGCATGAGTGTGAGACTTTTAGTATCATAGCTTAGCTCCTCTCGGATTAGTCTGTTGTCCAAGTGGTGGACCTGTGTAATTTTAGGTTGGGGGAGGGATGGATAATCTGTGAATGATTTTCCTGATCGGCTTAGTATTTTGTCCAACTCTAGTAGGGCATATGTTTGAATTTGTTCCGGTGACAATTCTAGCTCTGGGTGCCTGTATATTTTCCTTCTATTTCGTAGGATGTCTTCCTCAAGAGCATGTCTCGTTGTCTCCCATAATTGGCCAGGATCTGATACTTCACAAAAAAGCAATATTGTCACAAATAGTTCTCTCAACTGTCTAGGTGTTGCCCACTGGTCAGCTTACCGTATTGCATCTATCCACCCTTTGTCGTCATTGAGTAGGCCAAGTGTGTAACATGCAGCCTTGAAGGTAGGGTGGAGAATTCCATTTACTGTACGGATGTCTTCAAAACATGTGGGGCCTCTGCTAGAGTTGAGGAGCAGTCGGAGGTAGTAGCGTTCCCCTGCAATGGGGTGGACATACGATATTCTCCCCACGCAGTTTCCTCTCTTTCGCTTTGTCCATTGTTTTGTAATAATCCATTTCTATTCAGCTTCGTTCCAAATCCTTACATTTGGATTCCACACATACTTACTTGGGAATTCTGCGTATGTTAGAGACCTTGCCTCTTCAGATGTTTTGTTAATGGTCATCCACTGTGTAAGCATTGTTTGGTGAGCTGCTTCTTGATTTACTGCCTCAACAATGTTTTGGTTATCTTTGAGTGTTAAAAGTTGTTCTCCAGGCAAATGGACATATAGGCATAGGACGGGAACACTTCTGTGATGAATGTCATACTGGAAGATCCTCCATATTGACTCACATGCTGAGATGTATCGACAGTCGAGGTACTGTTCAATTTCATCATTTTCTGAAGGAGGTTTTTTTCTTCGTTTCTTCTCTTTGATGACCATTGTTGATCTATCTGGGCCTTTGTTTAAATACTTGAATAAGTATTTGATGGCTTTAGATTTGTTACACCACTCTACATTGATATGTGCCTCAAAAAGGAGTAGGAGATGGATGTTATAAGGGACGACAGATCTGTTGTCTAATTCAACCGAGCCCTTCTTCACTATTCTGTAATATAATGTTTTTCAGAACGTCACAAAGAGATTATAATTTAAAAGTGTGTAATACATCTGGATATAGGGTAAGAGGGAGGTGAGTTTGGGTTTGTTGGAAAACCTTTTATTTTCTCTTCTTCTGTATACTGCATACCCTGTTTCGTCAATGGTTGTTTGTTCATAGAACTGCTTTGGGTATTTTTTTGTGCAAATGTTTCCCTGCATACATGGAGCATCTTTTCTAATGTGGCCGCAGGGGCCATGTACCATGAATTTTGAAACCAATTCATATGCTTTTGTATTTTCTTCTTGGGGTATCTCTGCAGAAATAATGCTGTCTATGAAGGTCGGGTCATTGTGGGTTTCTGATTTCGTTAACCACAATAGTATATGAGCATGTGGGAGTCCACGCTTTTGGAACTCTATTGTGGCAACATCTGTGATGATTGTAATATTTTAGGACAGGTAAGTTACATGTATTGTATAAAAGTGGTTTTGTAACGTGCAGGTGTTTAGTTAAGAACATAGAGTAGAGTGATTGGACTTACATGCTTGCGTTGGGCCAAAGTGGTTGTCCTTTGTGAGTGTTTTCATGAGTTGCTTCAGTTTCATGTTGAAAACGCGGCAAACTATATCCGCACGATGCTCTGCCCTCTGTCCAGGGATATATTCTAGCATTTTCCTTACTTCTCGCCAATTTGAGTTTGCAGTAAAAGTGATAAACAGATCTGGGTTTCCATATTTTCGGCATATTGCCATGGCATCCTGATAGTTTTGGAACATGTAGCGTGGCCCTCCGGTAAATGATGATGGTAGTACTGTACGTTTACCTACTGCAGAGGCAATTGTGTCCCCTTTGTTGACAGCATCACATACATTTCTGAATATATCTGTTCGAAAAGTATCTTGCTTGGAACGAAAGTAGTTTAGACGCTCCTCCTCAATTGCAGTATATGCGTCTACGACATATTGTTGGAACAGTCTGCCTCCATATAAATGTGTTACACCTTCCGTGAGCCGTTGCTGAATGCGATAAGCATAGAATTCCCGCATGGTCATGAATTTCCGGGTCACATTCAATCTGGAATCGGGTTTGTATGGTATTTTGTCATGATATCCATCTTCCCCATATGGGAAAAGGAGGGGGTACTGCAATGACATGAAACTTGGGTGTCTCTCACAAATGTTCTGTAGTCCTTTTTCTTTGTGTTGCACTATAATATCTCTACCATCAGTCCCCTGGCCAAAATCTCCAACGATAAGTGCAGCTATTTCTGATGCTGTTGGGGCGTTGTATTGCTTACGTTGTTGTGGCCGGTCAGATACAAGGTGTAACTGGTACTCTTGGTCCTTGTCTATTTTCATTCTGTCTCTTGCCATGCGAAACACTTGTGCCAAGCAATTTTCCTTGTCTAACATATGCATAATGCCTGCCACAATGTCTGGATCTAGTTTAGACTGTGGTTTGTCTTTTGTCAATGAATTGATTCTGCTGTGTACTTCTGAAGAGTGGTCGTCATACATGTACAATTGGAGGAATTTATGGGGTTTCTTACTTTGAGGCATTAATGATCCTATTTGATGGTAATTTTGTCCACTAATACGAAACACATAAGGTCCTTTGCTTTTGTTGATTTCGTAATTAATATCGGCACCAATTGATGTGAATGCAAAGATTGAGTTATAAGCACGGATATTCTCTCTGAATAACTTGGCTCGTTTACCACCACTGTAGCTTAAGAGGTTTCCCAGATATTCTGGTGCAGGCTTTAATGCTTCGAGTTTGATTCGTCCCTCCATGCAGCATAATGAAAAGGTGGGTGGCCTGTTTTGATATCTGGAGTTATTCCGTTCTTCTTTCCACATTATGGCTTGACAGTGCTGGCATATTTCTGTTGGATTTGACAAAGCTTTATATGTTAATTCCCCTCCTATATCTGTATCATGTAACATGGATATTTGTTATACTTGTGTCATAACTGGGTTTTTTTAAATTTCAATAAAAACATGCTTACTTTGCAGGTTTGAGTTTTTTACTCGGTCAGGTTCTTTACGTCGATGGCCTGTTCATTTGTGTACGTTAGGATATAAATTGAAATACTGTATTATTAGGATGAAAGAGTGTATACAAAAATGGTAGCACCTTGTTTTCTTTCGTGGGAAGTGCTTGTATGGTCTGTTCTCTCCATTTCAGCTGTGGACTGCCTTTTACGCTGAATAATAAGTTTGCGCCGCTTACGTGCTTCCGCTGGTGTTTGTATGGATTGGCAGTGTAGGTCGTCCTCCATGTTTGGAAATCACGCCTGTTTGTTTTGCATATTGGTTGTGTGATGTTTTTAGTATGTATAGAATGTATTGGGTTATATTTTTTCAATGCTTACAGGAAATGTTTGCTATTCATATTCCATTTCAGTTACAAATAAATAAAGTTATAATCAGGGGTTGAATAGTAGCAATTAATGTGTGTTTAATTATTAACTTTAATTTAGTACAGTCATATAATAATAATATTGTGGCTTTTAAAATTCTTTCAGGTGTGCTCTCCTGTTGTTATTTTTTAAGGTAGGGATGATGACTGGTTGTATCCTTCATCTCAGATATGTGATGAGACTGGAGCAGAGTCGGCTAATAGCATAGGCGTACAATATCCAAACTGTTAAAAAGGAATTTAAAGAGGCAGTTTAAAATATACATAGAGGGGCTAATTTTCTTAGTGAATGTTTAATTTTTTTGTCATTGATGTGTTGATGAGGTTTAAGTTGGAGCTGAATAATAAATATTTCAATGATCTGAGATTATAATTAGTTTCTCGGCTTTCTCCCAAAAAGGAAAAAGGACTGACGTATATTATACTCTGCATTTTTCCTTTTCCAAATTTTATGCGCTATGCACTGACCTGATTTGGGGAGGAGCGTAATGGATTTCACCACCTACAGAGGACCCGTCGTGTTATTGCATCATCTGAATTCTCACTTAGTTGAGAAGGTTTATAGAAAACATGGCGTGCATCCTTTGAATGAACCAACATTGATCTGGAATGTTCAAGTTAGGGATAAGATTAAAGAGAAGTTTGGAGGAATTAATAATAAGATAAAATATTATGAAACTCATAATAGAGAGTTAATAAAGAATGTTTTATAATACTACATCAATCAGAATTGTCATTCACCGAGTATTGATATATTCGTAGAGTATATATATACCTTCCTTAATATATATTGTATTTGAAGCATAATATGAGACTTTGTCCCTTGAAATTTTTTAAGTTGTCTTACGGATGTTTTGTTTGCTGTCATAATAATGATAAGATGCAGAATTAATAACTTTGAAAATGTGTTCCATTATTTGTTTCCAAACTACGACCTAAAGTTACTGCGGTGGACGGAAATAGAGTAATCTGGCATGACGTTTAAGGCGTGGGAGTGTACATACATGAAGTGAAGAGAAAGGAATTGAGTGTCTGCTGGAGGTCCAGGTCTATAGACAGAAATGGTCATAATACCCCTTGTGCCATTGTAATGCTCCACCTTATACAATATGTCACCTGCCATGTTTCATCTCACAGTGTTGAGTAGTGTTGCATTGATATAGGCATTTCAGCTTTTGGGTTTGTTTTTAGTTGTGTCCTTCTGTTATTGTTTATTGATGTTGCGACATTTTTTTTTTGATATTGAACTGAAATATGTGATGAAGGTTAACCGAATGCAGTGTTTGATCATGTTCAAAGAAGATGTCGTGCTTAGAAGAAATTAGATAAGAAATTAAGTGCAGGTACTAAGTATTGATGTGGAGTTAATCTGATCCTAAGCATGACTGTTTTACTATGAAAATATAACTTTAGTATATTCTATGAAAAGGATCACTATCAACAATGCATTATGAGTTCAATTTTAACATTATAGAATATTGACACTGATCCATTGATGAAATTGTTTTATTAAGTTCTGCATATTTGACTTTTAAGGTCATCAGCAAATCTGTCTGAAAACAACAATCCATTAACACTTTTAACATCTTCCAGTGTTGTTAAAGACTGTAGAATATTAACAGCAATCCATTACATGTACATATATTGTGAATCGGGATTCGTGTTAGTGTACATATATTGTGAATTCTAAGGAAAGGAAATCTGTAAATAGAATATGTAAACATAGAATTATTAATATGTTAGTGTTTTTTTAAGTATAATATATTTAGGTTCCACCATGTTATGACAGTCTCTAAGTATCCATTTCTTTCCTGCAAGTGTGCATCTGTGCATGATGGTTGGTATAATCTTTTTCCTGGTTTAATCATCATTTCTTAATAGTGGTGCCAACGATTTCCTCACGCATTATGGAATTGGCGTAAAGAGGCATTTTTTAAACATAGTGTGTGAGAGTTTCAGTATTTAAACACAACATAGTACTCAAATATGAATAACTGTGTGATGTGAATGAACATATTAATAAACACAACAGTGAAGAGGTGTATAAGCTCAATAGTAATGCCTAAAAGATAAATGACTTATTCTCATTATGAAAATACGGAGTCATGGAGAAGTACACAGAACGTAGTACTGTCTTTGAAAAGAAAAATAAAGAGTGGTAGTGGACAGTTTACAGTGTGTGCTGTCTCTTTCTCTACTTTTTTAGTTGTAAAAGTACTCTCTAAAATTACGTGGGAACAGTAATACTGGTCACACCGTAAAACTTTATTTGTAGAAACTTTATTCCATAATAGCTCTGTAGTTTCCGCTGCTTTGATGTTCTGCTTTCTGAGGTTTAAGCCGTTCCAATAGCACCATCGGTGTTCTCACTGTGGCAATGTTCAGTATTTAATTCTTTGCTAACATATTCTATTACATATCAAGTGTGGGCTTATTTAAGAGACAACAAACCTTAAACGCATTTTCTTATTTGGAGTGTTGTCTATGGCAGGTGAACTTGGGGTGGCACTGGCAGAAGCTTCATGAGGTGTCTACATTCATCACATACAGTTGAGTTCACATTAAAGATGTCATGCTACAGATTATGGAATGTCCTATTTCAATTTGAGGAGGCATGTAATGCATAAATCAATGTAATGCATTTAAATGTAATAGGTGAATACCTCTTTATTTTTCATTGGACCAATTATAGACTCCTTGTGAACTTTATTTGCTCCAAAACTCTGTGTGTATGCTGTTTTGTTGTATTCAGTGAGTTTCACATGAAACACAAACCTCTGTCCAATCAGATTGGTAATCAATGCAGGTAACTGCCCTTGTGTTTCCTCATCCTGGGAGTTTTACATGCTAACGGATTAGTTCCATGTGCCATTATTGTAAGTATGTGTAATATTTGATGGAAATTGTAATCAAAATGCTGTATTTTTATTCTCAATACCTCAAGTTTTTCTTCCATATCGTACAGGCTAATAGCAGATTGGCCTATAAGCTTTTCAGCTTCATCATCAAATATAATGAACTTAGTAACCTCGGTCTCATCCTTAACTATGGCTTCAAGTCGATACCTAGGTTTTAAAATGAAAGACTTCCATGTGAGGGAAATATTGAAAACAGATGATATGTGAATGAGTGTCAAATCAGTATCTCAGTAATACAGATTCTCTTATGTTGAAATAAATTATTTGGTAAACATAGTGTTGCTTCAATATAATACCTTGGGACAGCATCATCAACTAACTTGGAATCTTTTTTGCACCAAAACTTTGAGTTCCCCTTGCAGTGTCCGCATGAGTTATAATACCAACTATTGTTGTTGCTTATATTATGTATCAATGCATGACAGTAATACGTTACACCCTAGAGTGTTTCATTACATACATAGAAATTAAAACCACGTCATTAATGGTGTTTAAAATATCAATTTCTAAACATTTTTGGTAATAATCAATCGTGATGCTCTTACATTTTTGAAGTCGGTTGATGCAATAGCCAAAATCTCTGCAATGGTATTCAACCCAGCAAGGACTGTGTCCTGGTCTACAACAGCCCTTTCAACCAAGAGTGGTTTGAGCGTCTTCTCCTCACTGTGTTTTGAAAAGTAAGATCATATCCGTGATATATATCTTTTAAAAATTGTACTACAGAAGAATCAAAATATTACTTTACATTTTTTTGTTTTTACAAAATCATATATATTAGTAAGAAGCAAAGGGTGCAAACATCCTTTAAAATACCTATACTTATTTTTTAGTGCAGCAACTTCGTCAATAGCAACATCTAAGAACACCTTTGTAGCAGTGGTTGTGGACAATGTAGTGCGTTCTGCAAGGACAATGAGCACAGGACAAATATTCTTATAATCAAATCCACACGCACATACTTGTCGTATAGGAACTTACTCATATATTCTTTCACCAAGTTTGATGTGAACACCCCAACAATTACAGAAGCCGGAATTGCAGTTTTCTGGGTAATATAATCGGCTACACTCCTGCCCCAAAGTGTTATTCTCAACTTTGCACCACTAAACATGTTAAGAAAACAAAAACATCTCGTTATCCCTGGTGGCCTGACCGACTGTTGGTTACGTTGTAATAATTATTGCACCCATTTGTGTTTTGAAAGCAAACCTCAATTCTTGCAATTCTAACATGAGGCTTTTCAAGGTATTGTTATAAACCTTTTTGTCTGTAACCTCGCCCTCGCCACAGACGTGTCCCACTACATCTGAAAAATGGAAACACATGTTATCCTAAAGTATAATCTGGGAATCTGATTCATATCAAAGTGTGTAAACAGTGGGATTAATGGGCTAAAAGTGACAAAACCTGTTAGGATGTAGTCCTTGCCCAACCTCATGGGAACTTTGTCAAAATCCAGAAAATCAAAACGGTGCAGTGGAATGTCTGTAACCTGGGCAGGTGCGGGTCTAACAATTGAAGTAGCATTCATCTGGATCATGATTTTGCTGTCTCCAACAACGCGAAAGCTGTTTCTGTTTTCAGTAACTCCAAAATTGTTTATAGAATATATCCCGCCTTCAACAATCGTGTTACGAAACAAATGGGATAAATTGCCCTTGATGCCATGGATATAGGCACCCTAATGCATTCAAAAAATAGGTAATTTTCAAATACGTTAAACGATTTCAGAATAATGAAAGGCTGAACTAAATTCAATCAGTATACTACCTCCTCATCTATCAAAACCATATCAGTACTAAGAAGCTCTGTATTGTTCTTCACGCTGTACGCATCCCAAAGTCTGCAAACACGCACCAAAATTGGCAAATCGCTGGCAGGTGCAGAAAGCTTTTGGAGTGGAACAAAAGTAACTTTCTTGTCACTGCGTATAGCTCTAGCTACAGACATATTGATGGGATGACAATGCTCACAAATCACTCTGGGAATTTCAAAAAATACCTACGCAGTACTGAGGTGGTAGATGCGTACATATATATGGCTGTCACCTAAACACCAAGAAGGCTAAGAACCGTACATTCCTAAAACCTTTCCCCCTCCCTTATTCTAATAAATGTCTATGATTACAAACCCTAATAATTAGAAGAAACCTCACAACTTCTCCGTTTCAATTGTAAAGTGTTATGAATTCCATCAATTTTACAATAAATGCATCTTTATCACCTGATTTTGGCAGAGCAAAGGTTGCTGGAAGAAAATCATTTTTCTGGCACCCATGAGGAAATGGAAAGGAAGCGCGAGAGAAAAGGGAAAAACCCCAGGCCTTTTGTTGCGTTCAACAACGTCGAGGAGGGTGTCTGCGGCGGAATTAAGGATTTTACCTGGCTAGAAACTGCGGCGAGAATAGGGATTTTACCCGGCTAGAAAACTGCAACCTTAAACCTGTCAGTGTCGTGAAGAATTAGATCTTTGATGACTAAGCACTATAAGAAATACCAGTAGTACATTATTACAGATGGATTATATTACACAATACATTATTACACATGGATTACACATCAGACTTTTAAAATTACACATGGATTACACACCACGTAGGCTGCCACATGTCGCTACGACAGCTAAACCGCTCCGCTTTATATATATAAAGGATATATATATATATATATATATATATATATATATATATATATATATACTAGTATTCCTACCCGTGCAACGCACGGGTTCGGACGATTTTTTTTACTCAGATAATTTTTTTATCTTATTTGTTGATATTCCATAAATTTTTGGTAATTGAAATGCATGCATATATAAATTGAAAAGAGCATATAAATGTTATCTTTTGAAATACTTCAGGGTAAACTACATTTTTGGTGAAATTGCAAGGGTTACCGCTATCGTCTAAAACTAACACTTTCAATCCTGCCTTTGTTTTCACTCGTGAAACTGCAACATAAAGTTGACCGTGAGTGAATACTGACTTGATCAAAAATAATCCAACAAATGACAATGTTTGCCCTTGACTCTTATTATAGTCTTGGCAAAACATAAAGATATTGGAAATTGTCTTCTTTGAAACTTAAACGGTAATCCAGGATCAGATGGTACCAAATTCATTCTTGGTATGTAAACTTTCTCCCCGGCATTGTTTCCGGATACAACGATTGCACCGATAACATTTCTCCGCAACTCTTCAACGATTAACCTTGTACCATTACACAACCTTGATGTTTGATCAATGTTTCTCAATAACATGATCGGTACTCCTTTCTTCAAAACTATTTTGTGATTTGGAATTCCAGAACATTTGATATCGTTCAAAAACTCAGTCGTTATCCAATCACCATCTATGCCGACATCTGAATCTGCTTGGCATGAAGAATCTGAACTCAAATATTCTTTTTCATCACCAGGAATAAGAAATAAAACAAATTCATTGATCATTTCAACAACTTCAAGTGTGGGTGCTAATAACGCTCTATCCATAAATATTAACTAAGAAGAAAAAAATTGAGTAAAAAAAATATTCATTTGACTCCGTGCGTGGCACGGGTCAAAATACTAGTCCTTTATATATATAAAGCAGAGTCGGAGCTGCGGGAAGGGCGACATTTGGCAAAGCTATGGCACGACATTTGGCAAATCTGATGTGTCACTTTTTTAGAAAACTAAATCTGATGTGGAAGCTGAGCTGTCACACAACCTAAACCACGGAAAGAGGAAAAAAATACTCCGTAAAAAAGAAATGCAGTAAGTTTCCGCCGTTTATTCGCGATCTGGGGAGAATCGCACACGCCGTTCCTTTTCTTCCACAATTTATCTCCTTTCCTTTTCTGGGCGAAATCAAACACATAGCAATGTAATTACGCAGATTTGATTCCATAACAACCACGAATCCAACGATTCGATTATTATCGTTGAATGGTTTAGGCGTATCAATGGCAGCCAATTTATATCAATCACAGCCAAATTTCCAGCGTATGAACGAATTTTTCGTAAAACCAGGTATTCTTTCCTTCAATTTGTTTACTATCGAGCATTGTTCTTGGGTAATTTTGCATTAATTTTATTTTCCCCAATTTGTTAGGGTTCTTAATTCTTTCCCCATGGAAATCTATCATCTTCAAAATAAAAACAGATCCAAGTTTTGATTTCACTTTGATTCCAAGAAAAACAGGAATTGCTGAAATGTATATCACTAGGACGGAGAAACAGCTGAAATTGCTGAAGGGTTAACTCTGCTCAATGAAAGTAACCATAAAAAACCAGAAACAGATGTGGGAGTGGAAGCTGTGGAGGGAACTGAAAATGTAGTGAAATTAACCAAAGCCATCATAGAAGATAATACAAAAGGTTTTTTGTTTGTCATACAAAACAAATCATTTACTTATCAGTTCATTGATAAAATGATAGATGTTCCCAGCATTTGTTCATAAAATTTTGACCTTTTCTTCAAATGTGTTAGTGTGATACTCTGCTCAGTGTTCATTTAACTAGCGGATATTGATTTTTTAGTGTAGTTGGCACAATCTAATGCCTGTCAATTTACATAATGGAATGTAGAAGCGCCAGATGAGAAAGGAGCAGCTGAAATTGCCATAGGATTACTGCATGCAAGAAGAAGGATGACAATAGACAAGGTTTATCTATTTTATTATTATTACCTACATTAATAATTAAAAATGCTTAAATTACTGTTTTATTTTTGAAGATGATATATTTCCTCAGGATTTTACTTGGATCTGTTTCACTTTGATCCAGGATTTCACTTTGATTCCAAAGTTACACGGCATTGTACATGTGATTCCAAGGTTTTTCCTAATTACATCTGAGCTGATTTCATATCCTTTAATAAATTTGAGAGTTGAATGTGTAGAAGACTGACATGTGACACTTTTTAAAACTTCAATTTTTTGACACGTAATGCTACATCTGTCTTCGTTGTATTTTTTACTCCTTTGCTGGCTTCGACTCAAACCTTTTTCTTTGCCAAAGGAAAGTAAACCACCCAGCCCTCTTTTACGCATGACTCATTCACACAAGGAAATTTTCTGCACCTTTATAGAAGAAAACTCTAAAAATTAAGCCAAACTCTCGAAATTCTGCTGATTCCCTCTCTCTATGAGGTCTTCTCGCCTAATTGAGATAAAATACCAAAAATTGAAATTCAAAGTTCAGATTCGAGATTCAATGTTAATATTTTCATCGGTGCTGCGCCCAGTGTTACTTGGTATGTTTCGATTTTCATATTTAATTGTTATTTGTCCCTAATTTAATTGTGCTTATTCAATTCATATTGCTCTTCAATATAATGCATGTTTTTTTTAGTTTGAGTCTTGATTTGTGTATGCACTTAGTTAACAATTTGATTCATAAAAAATGCTAGTCTTGAAATGATAGATGATAATACCAATTTTATATTTTCACTAATTGTTTGCTACATCATAATAAGTTTTATCATAAAATTATATTTTATATAATTGTTTTCCTTTAAAAATTTTATTTCGGACAATACTATATTTATCTTTCACAAATTTGACTTTATAACATAATTAATTTTATCACATCATAACAAATAAATAGATGAATTGCTTTTTAAAAATAAAAAACATAAATACTCAACTAATGTCACGAAGTAATGAATTCTTTATTTGTTTAACGTAAAATTTTTCCAAAATTTGAAATCATTTTTAAATATCTATTTTAAAATAAAAAGAAAGGTCAATTCATCATTAATAAAATTTGCCACATAAGCAACCAATAAAGACTTGCATGCCATCTCACCTTAATATAGCCCACATAAGCTTGACACTTGGTGACTTTCTAGCAAACAGAGTCTCAAATATTATATTAAAGGATTATATTTTTTATAACTAAATAGAAATTTTTATACAATCCTTTTTTAATTATGAAACATTATAAAAGCTTAAGTAAGATTGTAACAAAAAGCACCATAGCTTGGATGGTTAGGAATTCAACTAAATGACCAAGAGATCCTTGTTTCAAACCCCATGGTGGTATCCTTTTGAAAAAAAATTGCAAAAAAAGAACTGGTCTGACCGATCAAACCGATCGGTTTGTCTAAAAGGGTGACACATCAGCTCGCCACATGTCGCGCTTTTGCTTTTCCAAATGTCGCCACATCAGCTCGCCACATGTTGCGCTTTAGCTCTGCCAAATGTCACGTTCTTATAGCTCTGACTCTCCTTTATATATATAAAGGATAAAGGATAAAGGATATATATATATATATATATATATATATATATATATATATATATATTTTAAAAGGAAATTTATTAACAAAAAGGAAGTACAAGATAGGGAGTGGCCTAACCCCAACAAACCAGCCAAGCAATATTCCAAGCAAAAAACCAAATACAAAAGGCTCAAAACAACAAAAAAAGGAGTACGGGACCATGGTTGAAGTTGTAATCTTGCAAATATCCCTTTACAATATCATCCACCAGTAACTGTGAAGAATTACTGCTTCATGACCTGTGCTTTTTGTCTGCATTATCAAGGGAGCATCCTAATAAGGCTAAGGCGACGAATATCCCTACAAGCAAGAGTATATAAAGTAGACAACAAAAACCAGAGTGCAATAGATGTCCCCATGGTCAATTCCATATGCCCACAGTCAAAGTAGGGCCATGCTGTAGCTCCAAACCGTAGTAACAAAGGCATAAAAAAAGTTGATCCAGTGGGGAAAATTTACCCCCTTTATCTAACCGCGTGCACCCTGTTAATTATATCTTGACGATGGAGCTCCGGAGGTGAGCTCACCAAATAGGATCAGGTCACAAGAAGAAGAAAAACAATAGTTGTAATATGCTACTCCGTATTACCCAGACTTTTTGAAAGAAAAACCAGGGACCATGCCGTTGAAATCCTGTTGACCTCTTTGCAAAAAAATGCTTTATAATATAAACACATATGAAAGAATCCAATACTGAAGAATAAAAAGATTAGAGGAAACCGTCTTGAAAATCATCCCAGTTCGGATCCACTACCTTAGCAAGCTTAGCCTTCTTTTTTGCTTTCCTTTTTTGGCTTCGGGTAATGGGATGATGGGGGGTTTTAGGAGCAGTCTCCTTTTTAATTGGACAGCTTAGTTTGAAGGCTTCAATAATATCATTAGCGAAGGAATTGGCTGAGTCATCTGATTCATCTAACAAGCCCAAAGGATTATTTTTTCTACCTTCAGTAAGCAGCCTCGCTTTACTTCTAGTGACCATATGAGATGGAGAGAAAGTTATATATTATATTATATATATATATATATATATATATATATATATATAGAAAACCGCAACCTTAAACCTGTCACTGTCGTGAAGAATTAGATCTTTGATGACTAAGCACTACAAGAAATACATTATTACAAATGGATTATATTACACAATACATTATTACACATGGATTACACATCAGACTTTTAAAATTACACATGGATTACACACCACGTAGGCTGCCACATGTCGCTACGACAGCTAAACCGCTCTGGAGGTCCATTATTGGAAGCAAAAGGCAAACATCAGATGGCTGGAAAAGGGAGATTCCAACTCCAAACTCTTTCAGGCATATGTTAAAGGAAAGAGAAAGAAACTCTCTATATCTCATATTATTAAACCAAATGGAGCGGGCACTAGCAACCCCTCAGAGATCAAGACAGAAGCCATCTCCTTCTTTGAAAACAGCTTCAAGCAGTCCCAACCACCCTCCTTTGAACCAATCCTTCCTCTCATCCCCATGATCATATCCTCAGAAGATAACCTCAGAATCTGTACCATCCCCTCCCTGGATGAAGTTAAACAGGTTGTTTGGGATTTAGATGGCAATAGTGCAAGTGGACCTGATGGATTCAATGGAAACTTCTTCAAAGCAACCTGGGAAACTATCAAACAGGATGTTCTCACTGCCTCACAAGAATTCTTCATGGGGCAACCTATTCCAAGAGCCTATGGAAGCACCTTTTTGACCCTCATCCCTAAAACTGACAACCCAAAGAGATTTGAAGATTATAGGCCAATTTCTCTCTCCACTTTCATGAGCAAAATAAATACCAAACTGCT